AAAATTCCCCGAGCTCATAAAAGCCCTGGTGGAAGCTTGCTGGAAACTTAAACACTTTCCGAAAAGTAGCAAAACTGCACAAGTGGCCTTGTTTCTGAAAAATGGAAAAGATCCGATTGTCCCAACTTCCTATCGTCCAGTTTGCCTTCTTCCTGCACTCGGTAAAGTCTTCGAAAGACTGATTCTGACTAGACTTAATTTCTATCTAGCCTCACGTAAAGTCATACACAAACAGCAATATGGCTTTAGGCCCGACAAGCCAACTGAGCATGTTCGCAAGGATCTTGTAACAACTTTAGTCAACAGAAGACGGGATATGCACAGCATAGTCATAGCCCTTGACATAAAGAGTGCTTTATGTTCAAATGTGATCGACAGTTTGGTGTCTATAAGATGTCCTGGTACGTTAACTGATATTGTTCGCAGCTACGTTGAAGAGAGGAGGGTACAAATTACTATAAACAAAGATGTAGTGACAAAAACCATTATACAAGGCTGCCCTCAAGGATCCTGTCTTGGCCCTACTTTGTGGAACTTTGTGGCCAACTCAGTGTTTCACTGCTTTGATGACCTCGAACAGACCAGGCGCATTGCTTATGCAGCTGATTTCCTACTTGTCGTTGCAGGCATAAATGTTGTTATTAATAGAGAACAAGCCTGTCTTAATATCTTTGGCGAATGGATCAAGGAACACGAGCTTGCAATTTCAGTTGATAAAACACAGGCAATGGTGCTTGGGCACACGCCCTGAAGAAAAATCAGCCTCAGACTACAAAGATTAAGAATAAAAATTGTCCAGCAACTAAAATACCTCGGGCTGACTATAAATAATAGGTTGTCTTGGATGTCACATGTCAAAGACCTGAAACAGTGGGTGAGCACTCTCCCAAATGCAATGAAGCGCACAACATCACTCAAATGGGGAGCGCCTACAAAACGTCTTAAACTGTGATACAAGACAGTTACGGAGAAAGTCGTACTTTATGGCTCATCTGTATAGGGCACGAACCTTACGGAACAAATGAATCTATGCAAGGACAGCAGCTCTAATGATTTGTAGAGCTTATAGGACCACATCGATTACAGTACTACAGGTCTTAGCCGGTATACCATCAATAGACCTGATACTTGAAAGACATTGATTAGTGCCATCCGGCGAGCTTTGATCTGGAAAGATTGATCCTTCAATCTAGACTGCAAGAAGAATATGATATGACCATGTATACAGACGGTTCAAAAATGGAACTCGGTACGGGAAGCAGCTACTGTGTAATGGTTAAGACTAATATAACTCATAGTTGGAATAAACGCCTAGTAGCACAAAAATCTGTGTTCCAGGCAGAACTGATTGCTCTGCAAGCAGCCATTCACTATGCTCTCCAACAATCTAAATATAGCACCATCATATATAGTGATTCAGCTTCAAGCTTCGTAACAATAGCAGGAACTCGCAGTAGAACTCCTTTAGTTCAGAGTGTACAGAGAATGCTGCTGAAAAGACACCTGGGTCCAAGACCGATCTTGTCCTGGGTGCCTGTCCACACAGGAATCCAGGGCAATAAACACGCTGATATGTTAGGAAAAGAGGCAACTAATAATGTGTCCAGTAGGGAGGAGACCGTTTCTTTACTGAAAAGAATGACGTGGAAACAACTAATGTCTTAATGGCAAGCGCGGTGGGATTTAGCAAACACGGAAAGAAGGCTGTATCGGCACTTCACAAAAGTCAGCGTAAAAATGAGGAATAATTCTTCTTATCTCACACAGTTCCTCACTGGACATGGACCCTTTCCATCGTACTTGCAGCGATTTAAACTCAGCAATTCTAACAACTGTGAGTGCGGTAATGAAGGTGATCCAGATCACTTTGCATTTGAATATAGGAATACCGTGAGCTTTCAATTACGCAAGCCTTCTCATGAGCACTGGCAGGTTTAAACAGCTAGCGTTTTAGACTAGCATTGAAAAACCTTTGAATGTATAGATGACTGTTACGCAGTCGCGGCAATAACTCCACATCCGTCCAATTGTAAGATAGCTAGCCACTCCATGGCACTTCATAGCTCTCATCTCTTTTGCAGCCCAGCAATATTTGTAATTTTTTATTGTTTTGTAATTGTTTTGTAATTATTTTGTAATTGTAGTAAACGTAGTACTGGTATACCCATTCTGTACAATGACTTTATACCTGTAAGGATTAACGATGTAATATATGCCTAAAAATGTAAATATACAATTTGAAGTGATACGTAGTCTTTAAATGATTTCAACATATGCCTTGTAGATGAATGTTAACATCACTAATTTCCCATTAAATTGCATCTTTGTCTAGTTTATCATTGTCTACATTAGTGTGCCTTCACCTTTTGTAAAACTATACTCTGATTTATTGTATAACAACACCATAATGATGTATCGATATTGAAAACATGTACTCTCTCCAAGAGTCTTGTATGCTCATGTTATTTCACTATTGGTAACATTTCATGCTTAACTTTATTATGCACTTTTTGTAACCCAGAGGTATATTCGGAATTGAATTGTGCTTTTATTTTGTCTACGATAGTGTGCATTTTTAAGATCATTATCTATACATTAAGATAGCTAACTACTGAATTGCTCGTCATAGGTCTTATCCTTTTTCAGCCCAGCATTTTCTAGCAATTCTTGATCGATACTTGTAGGATAAAACGATTTTAACATATGCCTTAAAATGTAAATGAACACTTTGAAGTGAAATGTAGGCTTTAAATGATTTGAACGCATGATTTAAAAATGAGTATTAACATTATTATATTTACACTTAACCGCATTTTTATCTAGATGCATATCATGATCTACAATAGTGTGCCTCCATCTTATACATTCTTCACTGAAAACATGTACTCTCTTCAAGAGACTTGTATGCTCATGTTGTTTCACTATTGGTATGTTTTCCGGAATTACTCTATTTATTAGTCGAACAACTCGGTAAGTGTCTCTTCACTGAAAACTGTACCTTTTTCAAGAGCCTTGTTTGCCTATGTTTTTACCATTTTTTTTTCGTTTAAAAAACAATAATGCTGTCTGTACTCTCGTCCTAGCCTGGTGTTTGATCGGAAGTAGTTAAAATCCGATGAGTAGGTGAAAATCCCGTGTCGTACCCTGATCAGGAGCCTGCTCAGTGGCGAGTAGTAGAAGTAGTAGTAGTAATACTTTACAATAAAATTTTGCCGAGAAACTTCATAAATCCACATTTTCCGAAAAATTTTCCCGTTACATAATCAAAAATATTATCTCGTTAAAAAAACAAAAAAGCATTAAAAACATTCTTCAGTTATAAGAAGTATTAGTAGTTGTTCTTTTCTTCCCTTCCCTTAGTTACAAAATTGCACATATTTTGAAGAAATTTAAGTTCCGTAACGTTTTCTCCTTTATTAACAAAATTCGCAGTTTGATATTTAAAGGCCCCATTCCGGATACGAATTCCTAGTTTATTTACAGTATTTTTCTCTAATGCGCCATAATATACATTGTTCTAACTAGGAGAACCTTAAAATTTCACAAGAAGAGGCATGAAGCATATGCTTAAAAAAACAAATCTGTACTAACTTAGAATACAAGATACTGTAAACCCTACATGATTCAGCAGCTGAAAAAAAAATAAGTCGATTTCATGAAGGATTTATAAAGTTCCTCAAGATGCAATCGCAAGGTCCCCGCATTTCAAATAACCATAGCCCCCAAATAACCAATTTATCGCAACCACTTTAGTAGAAGTCGCCAAATTTTCAGAATATGCCTAATTCTGGCAACCACGAGCATAATCACTTCTTTCAGCAACCATGTTCATAACACTCTTTCAATAGAGCAATGTCGTTAGTTCTGTATACGTTCTTTTTGTTGTATTCCAAATTAAAATGTTTTTTAAAGACAAATCATATCTTTTGCTTTAAACTTAACTTTAAAATAAGCGTTTGGGGAATTTTCCACCAATGGAATTCCACTATGGTAAAATTTCTACAGGAATAAAGAATTTTGCCGCAGAAATCTCTAAAGGGAACAACGAGAAAATAGCCATTGTTGCCAAGGCTAGCAAGATTCCGAGCCTGCCCAGTTCTTTGATGTTTTTTTAAACGAAAAAAGATCTCTGTGTACCTGGGGAGAAGAATAGCTATAATAATTATCAAAAGATTTAGAGAAAAATGTAAGCGCTTTATTTTTTTAAAAAATATCATGCAATCCTTATGCAATAATTAAAATTCATGTTTTAAATTGCTCAAATATGTTTTCCCTTTATAGGCTGATAATGCTTGTTGTCTATTTACGATAAATATTAATTGGATTGGATTATTTAATTAGGGCAAAGGACACGAGGGCTATCTGCCTAAGGGGAGGGATGCCTTCGTGGAGGACTTTCTAAGGGAAACTGGCTCGTATACACGTTACACATGGGGAAAACCACGAAAACACCCATGCAGCCAGCCCGTTAGCGGGATTCGAACCTCGGACCAAACTACCAGTGTTCAGCGTCTTTACAATAAATATGGACATTTTGGAAATATTTTTTTTAAAAAGTCGCAAAACCCACCAATTTAAGTCCAATAAGTAATTTTTATCTTTTCATCCGTAAAGCATTTGCGTTGATACTCAGGTAACTTAATTAATAGTAAATTATAAAACAAATTATTATTAATTAATTATAAAATTAATTAAGAGAATTAATATAAATAAAATTTAAAAAAGTTATTTAATAGTTATAAAATAATTTAAAGTATATTACAAAAAAAATGTAAAAATAAAAAAATTTAAAAAAAATTGTATAAAAAAATTAAAAAAATTAGTTATAAAAATTCATTTAATTAAATTTTTAATTTATTTAAAATCAGTTATAAACATTAATTTAAATAAATAACTTAATTAATTAATATTTGCACTTTTTTAAAATTAAAATAATTATTAAATTAATTAATTATAAAAAAAAGAAGACAGACTGCTTATCTTTTTAAAAAGTTACTCACAGCCCTCATCTTCATAAACTCTTCATGCAAGAAATGCAAGAAAACAGTCACGAACTCCCAGTACATGTGAACTCAGTCCATGTGAGTGCTTTGAAACTCTCGTCAACATTTAGAACAACTCATGGTGTAAAACAAATCATCACCTATTAAAAAAAAAAAAACATACCTATTTGATATTTAATCAGGCATGAAAAATCAATCACTTCCCGTTTCACTTGTACATATCAACTCATATTGACGTAAAGATTTACACGTGACCTAGATTATTAGTCCGCAGAATTAGATATTTTACGGTAGACTAACGTAAATCGGTTTCAACGTACGTAAGCTAACAAAAAGATTAATATTTAGAAAAGGCAGACAAGAATAGCACATAAACATATCTATTTTTACTCTTAGCGTTTCCTTAAGAGTACGAAATAAGCGTTTTGCTACCTATGTTCTTGTTTTAATTGAGTCTTTGACGCAAATACAGATGCAGATTTTTGTGCAATACTTAAACAGCTGTTTCGAAATTTAGAACAGACATGGAAACGGACAACGAACACAGAATAAAGCAGGTATTATTTAAATTTAATAGTCAGAAAATCTTTTTTATTTCAGAGTACACTATCGAATAGGTTTTAGTAATGGGAGATAAGGTTTTCCTCTTTTCTTAGTCCTTCTTGTATGAATTTTTTATACTAATTATAATAAATCTTCTTATATAAATTGTTTGGTAAAAATTATTAAATAACTAGCAACATTTGCGCAGGGGGGGGTAAAAGATTACTTTATACGAATAGTTAAATATTAAAGATTTTCACAGGAGTTTGAAGTAAAAAGGCTAATCCTAATAATGAAGAATAATGAAAAAACAATTATGTATTATTTCACATGATGAGAAAGTGGCTGTGTAGGGAAGGCATTCATAATTTTCGGATAATCTGTAAGAATTAAATAATTTAAAACAGTTTATTGACTAATTTTGGACCAACAGAACTGTACTGATTTTCCAAGGAAGTGGAGTTCAATTTAAGTGTGATCTACCTCCTCTTGATAATGTTGAATCAGATTTTAGTTGTATTCATTTTCCGTTTTTTATGCATTTTTATGTATTTCTATTGATTTAAAAATTTCTCCTATTTAAAAACTCTAATTTAAAATTGTATTTATTCTTTTAAATTGAAAATCACTAATTTTGTAATTGAAAAAATCCTTCCTTTTAATTAAATTTTTTTAAATTATTCTTTTTAAATTCAGTGTAACACTCCAGTAAAATATCCGAACCAGCTTTATTTCTTATCCTATTTGAATGCGTAGCCTTACACTACGTTACTAACGTTTCGATTTAATTGTTTACTATTCCTTAGTTTGAATAGTCTCAAGTGGTGGTTTGTCCACAACATTAGTGCCTTATGTTCAGTTTTCGACTAAAATAAAAAGGCCATTTTAAACCTTCTTTGTAAGTGTTTAAGCGATAATTCTGTACCTTGTCTAGTAGGGTCTGCAAGTTTTGGTTTTAGTTTAGTTGATTACGGCAAAGCAGACTAGGGCTATCTGCCTATGAGGAGGGATGTCTTCATGGAGAACTTTCTAAAAGAAAACTGCTCGTATCCACGTCACACATGAGACAAACCACCAAAAATCCCATGCGGTCAGTGTGGAATCGAATTCAGGTGGAAACCACCAGTATTCAGCGATTTTACCACTCTGGCCGCTAGTGACGAGGGTGTGCAGGAGTTTAGCTCCAATTATTAGTAGCAACTCTACGAGCTGATATACCTGTGATGTGTTCGCCAGCCGAGTAAAATTGCTTCGGGTGGGACATTTGCAACCTGCGGGCCACCACTTTGAAACCACTGTTTTGCGTCACCTCATCTAAAAATATGATCACATACAAAACAGGCAAATCGACAACCTTGTAAAATCCCATCTATTTCGAAGGCAAAATCCCCCTTCATCAGGAGCAAAACATTCTGCAAAAGCGAGAAGATACTAAGGTGTTTTTGCTGGGTTTCTAAAGCGAATGTCGATCATGTTTATACCCTACAGGACACCAGTGAAAGAACCGATAGCGCCATCTGTCTCATAAATAGTAACGAAAAATGAAGGGTAAGTTAGTAGAATTTTAAAGGCATTAGGCAAGACTCGATAGGAATTAAAGTCATTGACTTAAAATCCCTTCGAGCCGGGTAGCGAAAACATCGCGGAGGCCGGCAGTGTCTTCCGCGAGCGTCTGTCCAGGGCCGGGGGCTTTTTTGCTACTAAGCCTAAATCCATGAAATCTCCGAAGTATCAACGCATTGTTTAATAATGCTCTATAGAGTATTTAAACGGCTTATGCTTTATAGATATTTTTATATATATACTTTAATTACCTTATTTCTTGTTTAAATGCATATTTTACACATTTTATTTTAATTACTCACCATTTTATGACTTTTAACATTATACATCTGAAAACTAAATATATTACTTAAAATTCTCTTTTCGTATGAAACATTTTAAAACAGGGATCTACATACAGTCCTACGTTACATTCCTTGAACTCGTAATAACTCATTTGCCGTTTTGAAGGATTTTTCCAGGAATGTGAACAAACGAAGCATCGTCGTCTCATTTTCTTATCAGTCTCTTCTGAACAAAGTTTTGGAAAATGTCTTTCAGTTAATCTTTCAGAATCAATATCAGAATATCAGAATTTCAGAATCAATATCTGAAATATTTTGCATCATTTCTGCTATTTCATGCTCTGTTAAACATTTTCGACGCTTCGACATTGAAACGGTAAAAACAGAAAGAATTCACGCCTAACAAGATCTAATTATTTTCTAAAAACTGAACTGTAAACCGAAATACTCAAGGCTTTAGCGCATATAAAACTTCTACTTACAATAAACAACTACCACGTGCGAATAAAGTGCGATTTAAAGAGACGTCATAAATCACGCCATTCGGAAACATTTAGTTCCCCGTTTGTTTATATAATCAAAAACACGTGTATGTGAGTCTCATTTCGAGTAGAAGGTCTAATGTACATGTATCTGAAACCATATGGACATACAGTGCCATCTTGTGGCAGAAATTATAGTTTGAAAAACGTTCCAAAGTACTGGCACAAATACGTGACAGTCGGTAGAAAACGCAACAATGCTCTGGCACGCCTGCGTGTCGGCCGGTAGATAAGTGTGTTCGTTGCTGGCACGTATACATGACAGTCGGCGCGAAGGGGTTAACAGAAAAAATTTTTGTGAATGGAAAAAGGAAAAGCTTCAAGAAAATCCAATTCCCTAATAGAACCAGCTTTCTGGGTAATTTTAGCAGAACCAAAATCAAAATTGTGATTGAATTTCCAACTTTTATTGAAGATTTGTTCATTTCGTCTTTATGGTCCTGATGAAGGCGGACCCGTTTTGCCCTCGAAATCGATTGAGATTTTACAAAATCTACGCCGAATACAAGGTTGTCGATTTGCCTGTTTTACTTTACACGTCGGCGTGTTTCTCTTGCGTCTTGATCATCGTATATAATTCACATGCAGTCAAGACCATCGTAAAGAAAAAGCAAAAAACATTCAGAATGTATCAAAATATGTGTCTGTATTTCGTAAACACAGCTAAAGTGAATAATAAAAAAATTCCTCCCCTGCCCCAAGGCAAAAACAAGCAAAATCCTTGAACTACACTTTCACTTTTCATGACGCTATTTGCAATTAGATATTTCCACATTTTCGAAAACATTATCCGACGCAATTTAAACCTGCGTGGAATACAAATTGGGATGATAACCGACGGTCTTCTTTAGGTTTCGAAATCCAAAAATAAATCATAAGTGAAATGTTTCCATGGTTACGGGTTACATAGTAAGTTATTACGCTTCACACTGTATGCTGAAGTTGTTTTTTGAAATGAAAATCCAAACACGATAATCACAAGATTCATTTTCGTTCGAAACTCAGTTTTCTCGTAAAATAAACAACTTTCGAGAAGAGAGGAGATGACGTATTGCAAATTTAAATTAACTCCGAAAGGACGTACAAGAGCTGGGAAAAAAAATTGTTTTAAAGAAAAATGCAATTTATGATATTTCGTTCTAAGTGAGAACATGAAATTACTATTCGCGCCGAAAGAGCCTTTTTAATTTTTAAACAACCAAACGTGAAGTGAGTATCGCATATCTCACATTATCTGCCGGTTGTTCCGAAGTGTTTGTTCTTTTCTGTTCAAATGACATCTGCGAGAAAAGTGCGTTCAAAAGCGGCAGGCTGTGTATATATTCAAATAGGAATACATTTCACAATTTTTTTAACCGTTAAGTAATATGTTTGATTGCCATAACGTCGTGCATTTTGAGACGTAGAAAAGGCAAGTACCAGCATAAAGAAAGCTTTTTAATTTATAATATGTTTATGAAGTTCGTGAAGTATGCATTATGTGAAATGGCTCGAAGGTGCTTTAATTCCACTCAAATACAGGCTATTGATGGCTGCGACTTCAAAATCCAATTTTATAATGTCCGGCTTCCACTTAGGGCACCAACGTTTCACTTCTTGAAACATTGCAATGTAAGTTGCTTCTCTCTTATCAGGCAGAAATGCAAAAAGCTCTAGATAAACGTTGGTCTCAGTTGCTGTATTTCTATATTTGAACAAACTGTTTCGGACAGCTTTTAAATTTTCCATCTAAGAAAAAGATCTTTCCATTTTCCAAAAAGGTACCGAGATTCTTCTCCTCCAAATACTAATAACCTGTTATCTTGGTCATTTTGAAAGTCTAAACTAAGAAAGTTATTTCCTGCATTAAAAAACATAAGTGTATCGTTTGCAAACAGAATGTCGTTGGCATTTTGGAGATTTTGGTAGTTCTCCTTGTTTCTCCTTTCCTTACATAAAACAGTCTTGACACTGGAGTATGTCTATATTTTAGTTAAGAAATCATAAACTTTCTGATATAATTCTGAAAGTTCTTCTTAAAATATTTGGGGAACAGGAAGTGATGGTTCTTCTCGGACTGTTTTTTTGCAAGTCTCTAACTTCCTTTTAACTTCGATCTCAGCAATGTTGGGCACGCAGGAATGTTCAGTTTTCTTCAGTACTTCGTGTTGAAAATTTTTCTTTACATTTCCTTTCTTTATATTTCCTTTCATAGAAAGCCTTCTTAGTGGTTTTGCCGAGAATATTCTCGACGGTAAGTTAAAGCTTCATTCATCCTGCATGCACGCAGAGTAGAATACTAGCCAAATAGCTGCAGCCCGTTGGAAAAACATAAATTTTGGTGAAATGACAATTTTTCTTTTCTCGATTAATAATGTTGCTTATTTTGCACTTCGAAATTTTAATAGCATGCATTTTACAACGTTTTTGAAATATGGAATAATAATATTTCTGTTTCGAAAACGCAAAATCATATCCTACGATGACAGCTTGTTTACATGCAACATTTTAAAAGAAGAATAAATTTAAAATATGCAATAGACTATATTTCTCATTTCAAAGAATGAGTTGTTGTCAGAAATGTGTATTCCAAACCGTTTGCTTTTTTTTATTTTATTGAAATCGTTCTAAAACCGAGTAAAAACCCTACGTATATAAAAAGAATGTAGAGTGTATACAAAGAAACAGAAAGTAGCCTGCATGAATAGAGGTTAAGCTACATTACCATGAAATTTCATTATCATCATCTTTAGTTTCGGTGCAAACGATATTTAAGGCCAAAGGCAAATTAGAGCGTAAATGTTTACTAAAAATAGAACAAGAAAGTATGCAAATTTAATTCCCTCTGATTATGTAAAGTCAAACTGAAGCTTCGAGTCCATGAAATCAAAAGGAAAATTAACCGGTTGCTTTAAATTAAATTCCTCATAACCCACATTACGTTTGTGTTATCTCTGTCTCGTCTTATCCTTGCCAGACCAATCTGCAATAAAATGAGCAAGGAATCCGGAATTCACCGTATTCCACAAATGACTCATCTGTCGCACACGCTCTCTGCACCAACCCAGGAAGCGATTCGTCCATTTCGCGACAATGTGAGTAGGTTAAGGTTACAGCGAAGGTCTCTATTAGCCTCATTGAAATTCTCTACGAGTCGCTTATTCAATTCCGAGCGCACTATGTGGCCTCTAGACCTCTGGTATCGGTTTCTTCAAGAAGCGGCGTGGAAATTCTTGCGCAGATAGAATTTTAATCGCTGTGAGGATAAATCTTGGGACTGAATTTACATACAAACAGGAGAAAATGGTCGGAAAGTCTAAAATATATTTCTTGTTAACACAATTACTTGCTAAGTATTTGAAGCTTGAGGTGTTAAGATTAGCCTGTACCTGTTTGTCGGGATTTGAGTCCTTGTAGCCATCAGAATGATGTCGTCATTAAAGGATTCAAAAAGCCAAAGACCTTCATAACAGTGCCTCAGCATAAAGGTACTAAATATGTAATTAACTACGTTAAAGTTTTACAAATTGCGTTAAAGTTTTGTAAAGTTACTTTACATTCTGCATACGTCATTTTATGAAATACATACGTCATTCTATGAAAATATTGAATATTTTTAATTAGGTAGATCACGAAATTAAATGCATTTTTATTATTTAAAATATTCCAAATCAAAAGTCAAAAATGAATATTCTTAAGATCTGCATCTATTGCTTTCAGATTGCTTAATTTGTTAATTCACAATAGACAGGTTGAATTTGAAAGTTAATTACTTACATTTTGCGGAATGGCAACACACTCGAATGAAAAGTGAAACGACAGGTTTATAGTGATTCGACGCGTAATCCCATTTCGAGGCCAACAGTCCTTTTGGCAAACTAGTAAAGTAATAAATTAATAATGAATCTAATAAAAAGATATAATAACTAATACTCATAATAGTAATAATAAAAATATTTATTTTCTTCTCAATGTAAATAAAGAAAAAAGTAATTTTATTTTAATTTTTTAAACATCCTAATTATAAAACGTAGGGGGTCAGCAACTCTGAGAAGGTGGCAACACCGACCAATGACTTACCCAGATGGGGTGCGAAAGGCCCCATTTTCCTCCAGAATTTTTCTTACATCAAAAATTGATAAAATCTAAATGCTGGGTTATCTTTTAGTTTTCCTCTTATCGGAGGAAATCACCTGTGGACATTTTTGGTAATGCTTATATATATTATTTACTAAACAATGGACGGACATGTACTGTAGTGGTAAATCTCGTGAACATTGAAATTTTGTTGAATGTGGGTAACGAATTTATTTTTCACACTTGTTCCAGGAAGTGCTGTTGTGTGCCAATCAAAGGATCCAAATAAAAAGTATGTTCGAGAACCTTGGAGAGCGAGCTAGCATTCTGCTTCTGATCTCTGAGTCGAGCCCAACCTCGCGTGAGATCCTAAATAACACTTGAAAACAAAAATTAAAAAAGGGGGCACTTGTATTCCTTTAGGAGCCGAGGTCTGGTACTTAATGCTTCCACTTCTTTTAGTCCCACGTACTCCTGAAGAGAAAATGTCCGCTGTTAAATTACCAGCTAAGTGGTATTGGCTATGCCTGTGGTTTTCTTTTCGGCCCTTTGTTATAAAACATTTCTGAATATCGGGTGGTAGTTTGCTAAAACGAGCACATTCATTTTATTTTCAAGGAATTCCAGTTCAAGTAGACTCGTATTTTTCATAGAAATAGTTCCGGTATGAGAAAAGACAGAATAAAAGTCAAATCAATTCTTCGAAAGGAAAAAGAAAAAAAGCTAGAGTTCTGGAAAATGTCCTTCAAAAGCCAGGATAAATTCCAATAAGTTTTTTGAGATCCTTTAAGAATTGAGGTTATAGGGTTTCAACCCTTATTTAATTTAAACTTTGTTAATACTGTACCGAAATGTCCAGCTGCGGTAAGCGAACTCTTCCCTTAGAGTTGCCAAAAAATAGCAGAGAAAGCAGTTTTGGCATGAAATCGCCCTTTTGGCGATATTTGACGACAAAATTGGTGATAGGCCATAGACGAAGTGTGAACTTTCTAGAAAGAGTTCTTAGTGGTTTTGCCAAGAATATTCTCGACGGTAAGTTAAAGCTACATTCATCCTGCATGCACGCAGAGTACAATATTGTTATGAAATGTACAGGCGCGGTAAGATGGCTTCCCCACAAAGCAGTTTTAGGGTTGCCATAAAATACCAAGGAAAGCAGGTTTGTCACATTTGGCGACATTTTGCAACAAAATTGGCGATATACCATGGACGGGTGGAGAACCTTCTGGAACGAATTTTTACCGGTTTAGCCCAGAATGTTCTCGAACACAAGCCGAAAGCTATATAAACCCTGCTGGTCCGTAGTCAGTTAGTGTGTAAGTGCCTCGACTAGCGAGCCTATGATAGTCAGTCATTGAGAGAGTGTCTCGAAGTCTAGCGCCGAGCTGGTCGTCGAGTGCATAGAGAGAGTCTTTTAGTGTATCGCGAAGTGCATCGTCGAATTTTGTCTTAGACTGTGCTGAGTCGAGAGCTATACTCTTGTGTATTGAGCTCCTGGAACGACTGAACCGAAGAGTCGGAAGCTGTACTCTGGTGCTTTGCAGTGAAGCTGTCTCTACCGTTATTGCCAGTGTGAAGACTGTTTCGCTGAACGTGTCAGCGTGTTTATAACGGATCGACGACTGTAAAAAAGTGATTTTGAAGCGTCCTGAGAATATTGGTAAATGAAGTGTGTTTCGATACTTCATCAAGTGTCGTCGTTATTCACTTCAAATCCACGAACCCCGTACGAACGTGAAGGAAGAAAATAACGTAACAATATCTTAAATTCAGTAGTGTAGCAGTGTGTCTTGAGTTCAGAGATTAGCTGGAGAGCGCTTGAGAGGATCGGGAGCTGTACTTTAGTGCTTTGCCGTGAAGCTGTCTTCACCGTTATAGCCCGAAGGCTGTGTTGCTGATTCTTTCAGCGTGTTGATCGTAGTTTTTCGTCGACTCTAAAAGTATTTTTTTATTTTCCTGTGTGGTAATGACGAATAAATTGTGTTTTGATTCTTCATCACGTGTTGTCATCCAGACACTCCAAATTCAAGAACCCGTAGAACGCAACAATATTGTTTGCCGCCTCTGTTAAAGTACTACAACTCAGAAAAAGGTTTTAACAATATTTTTACTTAAAGTTCTAATTTAACAAATGCATGGCTTGTACTACAAATAAATCTAAGCAGTTTCATGAGATAAAATATGAATTTAAATGCAAAGTAATTTAACACTGAAGATTCACAAATTTAAAACACAAACAGACGATGTTTCAACTCTAATCGTTCGGCTAACAAAGTTAGTTGCTCGGCTTCTAATTGCTTGGCTAACAAAACGCTAACATTGGTTTAAAATACCGTCGTTACCAAAGCCCTCTCTCTCTTTAAATTTCAAGAACTATGGTCTTATATACGTATTTAATCTGGCGAAATATAAAAGTGATTATGTAGAGCAAATAATACGATGATGTATTAATTAACATAAACTTTACAAGGTTTCTGGAATTATGTTTTTAAAATCAGGGAAGAACCGAGTTCGAATGAATTCTGCTGTCGCTAAAGGAAATGTTTGGTACCAAAATCCCATCTCTTCTCACATAATGCGGTTTGTTTTAAAATGCTTTGTTACAACTTTTGGTATCCTGCCTTTATAAGCCCTAACTCCATAAATTTGGCTATACTTAAAATTAGTCAAAGCCAGGCAGTTCATTTGACCTTTCAACTTTGATAGCTTTTAATGAGTTAGTTAGTTAAACGAAAACGGTGCACAAGCCTCAACTGCGTCTTTTCTCCCCTTTCGCTTTCTTTTTGAAACGCCCAGAAATGCATTAACAAAGAGCTTGATACACATACAGAACGTCGATACGATCTTCGAACGTCATTCAGTGGAATATTTCCGAAGAAAATGATTTCGAAAACGATTTCACTTTTTGAAGTGATGTGATCTCAATTGGAAAAGTGTATTCTAGTGTATTCAGCCTTCAACTACGTCATTTGGGTCCCAGAAAAATGGAAGAACGTCTTCGCATTTGCGACTCCGTAGGTAGGGGAACAAGCTGCCCAATCCGGACGTGACAGATATAAAGAGAAATGTGGCACACGGAAAAGACTTCTTTCAATTTCGAGAAGTAAAAAATGTTTGAAGAGGAAGCCAAAATAAGATTCCTCGTTCTCTGAAAGCTATAAATTCTCCTTTACTGAAATATATTTTGTTGTTTACGAGAGAATAAGTAGAAGGACAAGTTTATACCTAAACTGATATCAGATCTGGGTGTATAAAGAGGCGACGGAGGAGCGAAGTGAAACTAATAATAAGAAATGAAATCAACTGAAATTTGAAAAAAAAAACAAGGTACAGAAATTCTTTTTACTTCCTTGTACAAAGTAAAAAAAAGTATTGTAATCGCGAAAAGTTTCAGGCAGCATAATTCAACGAAAATATCTATTTTGACCGCTATCGAATGCAATTTAACGATGTTTCTGCATGACAGAATAAAAGACTCTTTTCCCCCCAAAAAAATTATAAAACTGATTTAAAATGAATTCTGAAGAGAATTTTTTGTGGCGTCTGTGCGTACCGTTTGTACGTATGTATGTATCTCGCATAACTCAAAAACCAATAGCCTCAGAACGTTGAAATTTTGTATATAGGACTGCTATAACATGTAGATGTGCACCACCTATTTTGGTTCCAATCGGCCGCACCAAACGTTTATAAATACAGTGGTGACCAAAATTGTGGACACTTTCGGAAATTTTTATGTTTTTGAACTTTGTATGCTTATAGAAAACCTTACGTTTCACAAAATGCAAACTTGTATATATCATTTTAAAGAGAATTTATTACTAAATTCAATACAAAACACAAAATTCAACTATTTGCAATATAAAAAAAGTTAAACGATAATAGTTACCGATATGCATTAGACAGTGATGATTGCAGTGAGTTATCAGTACTTAGTAGGGTACCCTTTATTTTTCATTACAGCTTCACATCGACGTTCATTGAGCGGACAAGAGTTTTAAGCTCTTATTTCGTTATTACATGATGCCAGGAAACAATTATAGCCTCAATTAGTTCTCTTTTATTTGATGGGCGCCTCATTCGAACAAGAGTTTTCAAACGGTATCATAAATTTTCGATACGATTGAGGTCAGGATTGTTTCCTGGCCATAACAACAATTTAATGCTCTTTGTACGAAACCACTCTTTCGATATTTTGGCCGTGTATTTTGGCTTCCTCTTCAAACATTTTTTACTTCTCGAAATTGAAAGAAGTCTTTTCCGTGTACCACATTTCTCTTTATATCTGCCACGTCCGATTGGGCCTGCTGAAAAATAAACGAAACATTGTTGGGAAAGAGATCTCTGATGGAAGGTAGAAATTTTGGTTCTAGAATAGTGTCAATGTATTTTCTGGCATTCGGTGTCCCATCGATGACATGAAGGCGACGAAAACCATCTGCTGACATGCATGACCAAATCATAACACTAACTGGGTTCTTCACAGTAGCTTGACTGCAGTCAGGATGTAGCTCTTCTCCTATTCTTCGTCTTACATATTTTCGTCCATCACTACCGAATAACGATATCTTAGTTTCATCACTCCATATAACTTGTGACCACTGATCATCTGTCCAAATTATGTGTTCCTTTGCCCACTGTAGTCTTTTTTTTTTCGTTGCTGAAAATTAAGATAAGGCTTTTTTCGTGGAATTCTACCTCTCAGTCCAACATCTGTTAATCTTCTCCTGTTTGTTCTTGAACTGACAGAAACACCAGCATCATTCAGATCACTTCTGATGGCCGCTGATGACATTTTTCT